TCCCCATAATGTTGATGTGATATGGGCTGCGTGTCTAGGACAGCATGCTGTGTGGTGTCTAAGAACGGCTCGCGTTCCTGAATGCCCTTAAGGGTCTTAATATGGTCCTCGAGTTGTCGGATCCTGTGTTCCATGTGAGTGATTTGTTTACACTTGGGGCAAATGTAAACATCATCTGCAGAGGCCTCCCAAGGACTTTTTGGCAGTTCCTGTGGGTGTCTTTTTGTAATGCTAAAGTGAAATGGATGCACATGTAACAACTGATCACCTTATTTATTTTATTTATTTATAATTCAAGCTTATATGCCGCCACTCCCCTGGGGCTCAAAGCGGCTTACAAGAACAGACTAAAATCTAACACAATTTAAAAACAATTTAAAAACAATTTAAAAACAACAATATCAGAGATCAAAGGCCTGTCGAAACAGATATGTCTTACATGCCCTGTGGAAAGCTGATAGGTCCCGCAAGGCACGGACTTCAGGTGGCAGAGTATTCCAGAGTGATGGTGCCACTGCTGTAAAGGCTCTGCATCTGGTTGCTGTTAGACGCAAGGTCTTGACACTGGGAATTTCCAATAGATCTTGGCCTTGATAGAGAAATAACTGTTCAGGGAGGGTCACAAGAATGAAAATGGGGGGACGGGGGATTGTGGATGGTTGCATTTAATAGATTTACATAGTTCTGTAAGTTCCAAACTACATCTCCTCAATGCAAGGTTCTGGCTACTGTTTTCCATGGTTGCAGCTTTCTAATATTAACTTTTATATTTATGATTTTTAAAAATACTTTTTGCACTTATTTTCATTTTTTAAATGTATGTGTTTTTTAAAAACTCTGCCCATTAAGTGCCTGAGGACTATACGGTTAAAGAAGCAGAGCTCAAAATGGGAAGCTTACTAGGCCTTTGCTCTGGAAAAGCTCCAACAGCCACTCAGGTAAAATAAGCAATATCAGCAATTTTTGTGAGAATATTCCTATTTAATACTTTTCATGTATTTATACTTTATTGTAAATATTGAGACTGATGTTAGTATCATAAATTTTCTCTTTGATAAAAACTTTATTACAGTGTTCAGGAATTACATAACCTCAGACTGAATTCGTTGAAATGTACACTGTTTGTGATGTATCTAGTCAGGTTAGCTGGCCGATTTTGAGAACTATAGTTTCTTAGCTGTGATCTCAACTATGTTGATTCACAGCTAGAGAACTGTGAGTGATAATATCTGTCCTATTATATAGCTAGTTCCCTTAAATACCAGTTGTAACAATTTTACTTTGAAATAGTATTGAAAAGGGCCCTGATTTTAAGCTAGTTCTTTTGACACCCCAATACCTAGACTCTTACGAGGATTGTTTACTTTAACAGTGTCTTCTTAAACATTGCTTACTATTTATTGAACATACAAATTAACAGAAGCTGCTTTTTATCATCAGTATTTTCTATTCTTATTCACAACAGCTCATGTTCACAATAGACTCAGAAACAGAAAAGTAAATTCCAACCTACTGCCTGACACCTTTTATTTAGAAAAGATAGGACAGTTGAATCTGTATCATTTGCCTGGGAAGTTTGTGCTGTGCTGCAAAGCTATAGCTGTCAAGGTACAGACGCCACAAAGTTAGTCCCAAGTGCAAAGTAACAACAGTTTATTGAAGGTACAGCTCAAAAGAACAAAAAATGCTTAACAGCAGCAAAATAGTATTCCCAAAACAAAACACAGACCAACTGGTCAAAAAGAAGGCAAATCAAAGAGTCCCAAAGTCCTAAAAATCCCAACCCATTAACCAAAATACACAGCAAAGGAAAGGACACTCGCTATCGTTTCAGCAAGCATGTTCCAGGGTGTAGCAAAGTCGTAGTCAAGCCGGTCCAGGGGTCATCCACAGCAAACAGGGTACCACAGCAGCAGCGTCAAATGTCCAATCCAAGATCAGGGCAGAAAAACGAAGGCGATGTCCAGAAGCGATTCAAAGTAGTAGCAGAGGATCCACGAAGTTCAGGGATCACAGGAATCACAACCCAACGTAGCAGGCAACCCAACAAACACTTTGCCAGTCGCAAAGTCCCCATTGCAACCAACCCTCCTTATATTACAAACTTTCCTTTGAGTTACAATGAGACAACGTCCCACCCTCAACTGCTCCTGCATTCTCCTCCAAACTACACCAGTTGTGCTGCCCGAGCTGCTCTTTGCCTTGCCTGCCAATAGGTCCTTCTCCTGCTTCTACTTACATCTCCCCAAACAGTAGACAAATCATCCTCCCTCCAAGTTTCATCCCCAGCAAACCCTCTGAATGTGTCACTACTTGTAGGCTCCTCACACCCTTCTCTCACTTCTGCTACTGTAGTCCAATCCATCTCATCCCCAACCCCATCAGTGTCACTCCCAGCACTTCTCATAGAATTTGCTTCATTGCCAAACCCATCATCCCCATCAAAACCTTCAAAAGACTCTTCATCAGTAGGTTCAGTAAGTATTTGCCGAATTCTCTTCTGCTGTTGCTCTTCAATAGATTCTTGCTCCCGAGTAGACCTTTTTGCCTACCTAGTCTCCAACTCCCTGTTGTTACTACTACTCAGAGACTCATCCACAAGAATAACCCTCTCAATATGCAAAAATAAAGAATAAATAACCTATGTTTTGATATTGAATCTGAAATTTGTGAAACTGCTATATTGCATGCTGTGATATTTGGACACAAAAGGTCCCTTGCGAGCAGTTCTGTGCATAACTAACTCATTAGTAAGCTCTACTAGATTCAGTTCCAGATGGAATTGGGCTAACTTTGTATCTGAAAATATACCAGAGTGAGCAGCTGGCAGCTTTCTATGTGTTGATGGAGTCTCCCGGTCATTTCTAGCATTTGACGTGCTCTCTTGGGCTGATCAAAGCTGGAGTCCAAGTTGCCCCACTTTGAATATATTATTTAAATCCATTTAAAATGTGCTTTAAGGAAAACTTATTTTTAAAAACTTGATGTGTTATCTTTCTCTTAGCTTTTCCTGTATTTTATTGTTGGTCATGATCTTCAGTGTAGTCCAGAGAAAGAAATAGTGATGGAGGAGACTGCTACTGTAAAAGAGGTAAATTATCTGAAAATGCTGTGGAAAGCTTCCTGTGCTTTTAAAATATAACCTCTACGTTAACATACCTTACCTTCTTGCACTGTGCTTGAAAGTGTGAAAATAAATCGATGTATTAGGACTACCATGCTAATCTGTGTAATCAAAGTGCAGTTAACTAAAGTCCCTGTTAATTAATTTGTGTGGGAAGGGATAATCCACAAGATTGTTTTGGTATTTATGTATTATAGTTTAAAACCTGTATCTTCCCTCATAAACTACCATGTCGAGTCTAAGCCACAATATATGTTTTATTATATATTAGCGGTCCTCTGCCACGCGTTGCTGTGGCCCAGTCTGGTGATCTGGAAAATAAAGCAATGGTTTCTAATCTATGGAATTTCTTTCTGCTTGTGGGTAAACAGTATTTCTTGCTGTTTCTTTATCAGTGTTGATGTGGAGAGTGTCTGGTTTGCCTACTCTGGAACATGCAACATATCACTGTCCTTCTTTAAGGGTCTCTTTCAAATCTAGGATACTATATCTGTGTGTGTGTGAATCATATAGATCTATCTCTATCTATGGCTGGATGGCTCTTTGTCAGGAGGGCTTTGATTAGATTTTCTTGCCCTGGTGAAGGGAGTTGGACTGGATGGCCTTAAGTATTTTCTGTTGGTCATGGGGGTTCTGTGTGGGAAGTTTGCCCCATTTCTGTCGTTTGTAGGTTTCAGAATGCTCTTTAATTGTAGTGAACTATAAATCCCAGTAACTACAAATCCCAAATGTCAAGGTCTATTTCCTCCAAACTCCATCTGTGTTCATATTTGGGCATATTGAGTATTTGTGCCAAGTTGGTCCAGATCCATCATTGTTTGAGTCCACAGTGCTCTCTGGATATAGGTGAACTACAACTCCCAAACTCAAGGTCAATGCCCACCAAACCCTTCTAGTGTTGTCTGGGAGTCCTGTGTGTTACCTTTGGTTCAATTCCATCATTGGTGGAGTTCAGAATGCTCTTTGATTGTAGGTGAACTATAAATCCCAAGAACTACAACTCCCAAATGACAAAATAAAAAAAAATTGAGTGAAGGACATACATTGGGTTGTTAGGTGTCTTGTGTCCAAATTTGGTGTCAATTCGTCCAGTGGTTTTTGAGTTCTGTGAATACCACAAACGAACATTACATTTTTATTTATATAGATTATTATAAAATAACATTGATCATATTAGTGAGAAGTATACTTGTTTGTTTATTAGACAGTTTATTTCTATTGTGGTGATGGAATCAGGAGTGAAAAATAAAATAAGGATTTAACTAGCCAAAATGGGGGGGGGGGGGGGGGGGGGAGAGGCTGTTTGCAATTTCTCAATCCCACTGCTTCTTTCTGCTTTTGTAAGACATGCCAGCTGTATATTCTTGTGATAGTAACAGCAGCCTGCCTATTCCCTTCTTTGAAACAAGAAGCACCTTGCTAGTATGGATTATAAATAACTATGTAACAAAAATTGAAAAACTTGCTAGGAAATGACATTTATAACCCAGGATCAAAAATCAAGTTGCATAGTGTAATCAGCAGTGCTTGAGAAGTTGGGATCTTTATTTGTTTTGAGCTCAAATAGCAGTAATGGCTGCTGTGCAAATTGCAGAAGTTGATGCATGTGTATGAGAATTTAATTGTATTTGGGATCTTTTTGTGAAATGTTCATAAATTAGTTTGTGCAGAAAGTTTTTTCCATTCCAAAAGATTTCTTATGAAAAGCGTTACGTTCCACAAAACACTTGTTAAGCAAAAATAATGTGTTTTTGTATAAACTACAATGTTGTTTTTTACACAAACAAACCTTTTGCAAAAATTTGCAAAAATTTCCACAAAGGACTGAATTTTCAGGGGGAAGACAAAAGTTTCTCTTAGCATTTCCCCCTGTGGGCATTTTATAGTTTTGAGGGACCCATTTTCATTAAAGATGAAAAGTTTTCTGATTATTATTTCATCCCTACAGAGAAGTATGGTGTAAATTGGACAACAATGTAATTTCACATTGGAACTGAAAAGTAGCCATATTTCAGAGTTTTATGCATGCATGTGTTATTGCCCCAAAATATTCTGAAAGAAATATTGTCAAGATGTATTTGGCTTCCAATTATGAAATTCTGTCTTTTCCAGTAATGAAACTGTATTAATTTCACACACTGTTTTTTTTTTCAGTGTCTAAACTTAATGCTGAAGAAATCTGGTTTGACAGGTTAGTATAAATATTATGTAGAAGCCTTTAATAGAAAAACATATATTATTTTGTCATCTCTAGATGCATTTATCAATCAGTGTAGTTCATTGATGGATTGGATAAAGAAAATAATATTATCCTGTGATATCATTCAAAGATTAGAATAATTCTGAACTTTTACCATTAGCAGGGCTAGCTTCAAATTATTGTTGGAAGCTGATAGAGTCATTTGAGATTATAACAGTTTCTGGAATTTTGTCTACTAAAGAATCCCTCACATCTAGTGTTTTTGTAGATTCAATGCTATTGAAATGTGTCAAAAAGAGGCAACAGATCTATCTCAAAACTGGTGTATTGTCCTTAATAATAAAATAATGTGTGCTGCTGTGTGTCTGTTTCTGACATAGCTCTAAAACTGTGAAGTCATCCATAGTTTTGGCCTCAACTTATACATGAATTCTGCCCCAGAGTGTGGTGGAGGCTCCTTCGTTGGAGGCTTTTAAACAGAGGCTAGATGGCCATCTGTCAGGGGTGCTTTGAATGCAATTTTCCTGCTTCTTGGCAGGGGGTTGAACTGGATGGCTCATGAGGTCTCTTCCAACTCTATGATTCCATGAAGTCAGTTTATATATGAGGATATATGGTAGTTTCCTCAGGTTCCTTAAAATCTATCCTGTGGCCTTTAGCTCTATTATCAACTGGTAGAAGGTAAGCAGCAAGTCAGAAGGTGCAGTTAGGCCTAGGATATTAATTGCTCCAGTCAACTGGGCAGTTCCATATGTCCTCTTCAAATCATTAACAGAACCAGGTTCTTCTGCCAGGTAATGGAGTGAAGGAATATATTGGGCTAAGCCAAAGGCATTCAGACTACTAGTCTTTTTCAGAAAAAAAAATAACAAGAAAGAATAGAGTGTGGAAAACAAGGCGAAAGCACTAAAGAAAGTGTAGGATCAAGGAGTCTTAGTACCGAATTTTCATAGCTATATACTCTTGTGAGCTTTAATAAATTGATGTATGTATGTATGTATGCATGTGAGAATATATTTTCAGCATGATTTTCAATTGTTTTGTATCCAGGAGATGACTGGCATTTGAGAAAGATTGACTGGTGTTATGAAGCTGGGGAACCATTAAACGAGGAGGTAAAAGGGGTAATGTATACATAAACAAGTTGTCCTTTCAGTGTTATTTTTCGAACACACCATAAAAATTGCACTATGTAACAAAATTTGAAAAAAAAATCTGTTCCTGGTTTGAAAGTGTTATTTTCTGATTAATTGTGTGTTACTTACTTTGAAAGTAGTTATTATACTCCAGAAACTTTGTTTTTGTGGCTGCCACAAACTGTTGCATCGGTTGAGACTTTATGAAAGATTAATTGAAAACAATAGCACAATGTGCTACAGGATGTCTCGCAAAAACAAGTTTTTGCATTTTAATAAAAAATCATGTTTTCATGATAGAATTAAGAAATGATATTTATAATCCAGAAACAAAAATTGTGTTAATATTGTTGTTAGCCATACACGATAGCTGATTATTCAGTTAGTTAAAAACTAGTATTCTGTATGAATTAGAATGTGCTTTTGGAGGGGCCTGCCATGGAAAAATGCAGCTCAGTGACTGCGCTGTTTTAACTTTTAAAATTTTAAAATAAAAACATTTGTTTCATCCTTGTTGGTTAACTTTTGTACAATCCTTTGTCTTCGTTTTGTTTTCACAGAATGCAACCCTAAAGGACCTTAGTATCTGCAGTGGAGACATTTTGAATGTTGCTGAGGGGAAGCTTCCACCAAAGGTAAAGTAAATTGGTTGCATCGTATTACAGTAGTTAACTTTTAATCAAGAATAGGGAGACTTGTGTTCAGACTACTACTCCTCATCCTTGAAATGCATTGGGAGACTTTGAGCCAGTCACTAATTGGTTGAGGACCCTTCTCACTCTTTCATTCACCCTCTTCCCATTTTAACACATTAAGCTCACCTATTTTATAAAGGAAAGAAGTAATATTAAACATCATGGGTTTCTTTAGAAAAAAATGAGTCACAAAATTGAAGCAATTATAGCTTTGGGCTGGTTCATTTCATGCAGCTTTCTTCACATAAGCTCAGTTTCTGAATATTTCTCTTCAAGTTGCCTATTAACTTATGGAAACCCCATTGAATTCCATAAGTTTTTCTTAGGCAAGGAATACTCGAATGTAGTTTTGCAAATTCTCAAATTCAGCCTACACCACCTGGTGGGCGTTAATAGCCTCCAATCCAAGTTCTGGCTCTGTCTAGCCTCCAAATTTATTCCTTTATTCACTTCCCCTGACTGATACCAGTGTGAGCAAGATTAAGACATTGGGAGATATTGGGTAGCGTACCTGGATTTCAGTAAGGCCTTCGACAAGGTCCCTCATGACCTTCTGGCAAACTAGTCCAATATGGGCTAGGCAAAACTACGGTGAGGTGGATCTGTAATTGGTTAAATGGACGAACAAAGAGGGTGCTCACCAATGCTTTCTCTTCATCCTGGAAAGAAGTGACGAGCAGAGTGCCACAAGTAGGGTTTGGTCCTGGGCCCGGTCCTGTTCAACATCTTTATTAATGACTTAG